AACCCAGTGCCTCACACGTGCTAGGCAAGCGCTCTACCACTGAGCCCCAGCCCCAGCCCCAAAGCACACATTTTGTATTCCGTAGCTGGAGTGCGTGCATGTATTTTGCTCTGACCAAAGCACTGGATGTGTGGCATAAAAGGAATACCACTGTCTCTAATGGACACATTCTGCTCACTCTTCACTTTCTGTTTACTTGGAAATAAGAAAAGGCTGCAAGGAAAAGGAGCTGCAGACTGCCCTATCTTTCTCTCTCTCTCTCTTTTTTGTGTGTGTGTGTGTGTGTGTTTGTGCCTGGCTGTCTCATACAGAGATCTAACATAAGCAAGATAGGGTCATTGGTAATTTGTGTTTTTTTGAACGCTGTTGCCTTTTTTTGTGTCCCAAGAAAGATCTGCTTTGAAAGGAAAGCCGGGCCTCTCAGGGCTGGGAGGCACTCTGCCTTACTCACCTCCCAGCAGTCATAGACATCACTTGTTCACCTTGCATTTGTTTTGAGTCTTGTGGACCCCTGCATTGAGCCCCCTGTGGAACTCCTGTTGGGTCCCTGGCATTTTGTGTTCATGAGGCAACATGATCTCCCTGTACAAACAGGGTGCAAGGAATAGCAGGCACACATTGTGCACAGATCTCGGCTCATGTGTGTGATCCATGTCCCAGCACACAGTTCATAGATAGAGCACAGTTCAAAGATAAAATGAGAAAGGATTTTCAAATGGTGACAGTAGAGGCTTAAACCAGGGGTGGGCCTTTTGAGCATGAGGCCCAAGTTACCTGGGCATTAGCAGGCCCAGAAGCTGGCCCTGCCTGTAATGCTCCTTGGCTAAACACGCACAGAGTTTAGGTAGAGGCTGATGGCTCTCCCTACAAACTACCCATCTCTAACTTACTCTCAAGCTTCCTGCTTCTTGAATCCTCAGGCTGATTTGGGCTGAAGACCATGCAGCACAAGCTACCCTTCAGACAGGTCCTGGGATAGGCACTGGTAAGGTGGGCTCCTCCTTCAGCTTGACAAGCTCCAGCAGTGTGGTCCTGGGTCGGTTACCCAACCCCCCCGCCCCCATGATTTCCTTGTTGCAAAGTAAGAATGATTTGTTGGGAGGATTGACTGTGAAAACACACATGAAGCCTTTAGCCCAGGGTTTGGCATACAGTAAATGCTTGGTAGATTTTAGTTAACTGAGTCATGGTGGTTATTGTTTTCTGATGTATTTTTCAGTTCATTTATTTGGAAATCTTTATCCCTTCAATTAAGATAATAATTTTAAAAACTGGTGAAATCCATCTTATAAAGAATAGAAAATTCCTAGGAAGGGTAAAGCAAGGGGTTTAGTCACCAAATGGGCTTCAGCAGCATCTCTCCCACTTGGGAAAAAGCCACAAATGACAAAATAAAGGGGTAAGAATTGTTCTCAGGGTGTGTGCAGAACATGTGAGAAGAATCTTTCTTGTTGGGTACCAGCGGCACATGGCTGCAATCCCAGCAGCTCAGGAGGCTGAGGCAGAAGGATTGTGAGTTCAAAGCCAGCCTCAGCAAAAGTGAGATGCTAAGCAACTCAGTGAGACCCTCTCTCAAAATAAAAAAGTAAAAAAAGGGGCTGGGAATATTGCTCGGTGGTTAAGTGCCCTGGGTTTAATAATCTTTCTCTAGGGGGGTCTGAGTCTTTGGGTAGCCACCAGACTATTAGTAAGAAACATACAAGCTCTGGGCATATTTCTTAGCGTTGCAAAGTAAGAAATAAAAAATAAAAACAAAAAAATAGAGAAAACTGAAAAAGAAAAAATAATTAATGCTGTAGATTTACCCTTTCCCCTTACCAGCTTCTTCCCAGGTCACTGTCCTTTTAAGAATCCACTAAACCAGAGTCACTCAAAATGGGGTCCCCAAGGTACTTGCAACAGAATCACAAATGCAGAATCTTATCCATGTCAAACCTTTGAACTGAAGTCCCTGAGGAGGTCTGACCCCAGAAATTGCCTTTAAGGGCTGCCCAGGTGCTTGCAACTTTCTCTGCTAAGTTTGAGTACTTCTGTGGGAGTCTAGGACCTAGGAAGAAGGAGACCATTCATTTTATTAATCACCAGCTCTTCATTGTTTCAACTTCGCTGGCACCAGGAATGACTATGGGGGAGGGGCAGACCTTGGTTGTACGGTAACCCCAGTCTGTTTACCTTGATTCTGGTGTAAGGGTCCATGTCTCCACATGTCTCACAAGCCACAGAGGGTGGAGACTTGGAGGTGAGATGGTGTGTGTGTGTGTGTGTGTGTGTGTGTGTGTGTGTGTAGGGGGGAGGTGGTCCTGGCACCCCAGGGGCAAATGCTCCAAGCTGTAGTGACCACCAGCTGAGGTTCCCTCCTGGGTGCCCTTGCATGGCTGCCCCTTGAACTGCAGCCTCCATGCTACTTTGGCTCTGAGAAATCCTGGAAGAAACTGGGTGAGCACGAGGTAGGCAGGAATGCGAGACCACAAACATGAGGGTTCTGCTGACATGGTTTGATAGATGGGAGGCTGTTTGATGCAGGCTATGCATGGGGAGGGCAGTGTGGGATTGAGGGAACTATGGGCCCAAACATTTCCTTTTCAAATATTTGGTTAAGTTTGCTCAAATCACTAAATGTCCACCAATCACAGCATTAGCCACGGTGCTTTCATTAATAGAAAGAGGTGAGTGCTTACACAGTGCTTGCTCTGTGCCAAGCACGTTTGTTAATGCAAGTGGTATCATTCTTCACATGCGTTACTAGAATTCTTCCCACTCTCCCCATTACTTACATGAAAACTCATATATACATCCTTCTGTTTAGAGAATACTGGGAATTAAAGATTTCAAATTTGGATGTTGGTTAACTACTTATAGGTTTTTAAATCTTTTTTTATTATCTTCTTGGCTTTGCTTATTTAATTCACCACTCTATTCCTTCAGTCCACACCAGTCCACTGGGCCTGGGTGGGGGAGGATAAGCTCTCAGCTTGAGCACTAAAATGTTGAATTATATGTCCCTCTTTTTTTTTTTTTTTGCCTCTAGGTTGTTGACACTTTTCCTCTGAGAGAGAAAGAGGTGGATACCTGCTTTAGGTGGGAAAGGCTGTGCTGGTAATTGAGTCAGAATGTGGGTAGGAAGCTATTCTTGAGTGGGCTATTGCTTCCTTCCATAACTCAGGTAATAGAGCTGTCATATTTAAAGTTTTATTGGTTAAGATTCAGGTTAGGACTGGAGCCGTTCTTTTGCTGTTCCTTCAGGGCTACATGTGGAAAAGAAAAAGGAAACTCATGGAGGAATTCTGAGTAAGGCCGTGAGGAACAAACAGCCATCAGTTCCTGTGGTTTCAAGGACCACTAAAGGGGAAGGGGGGGGGTCACTTAAACTTAAGTACAGAAAGGAAATAGAAAGATCTTCTATTTAATATGTCAAAAACAGCTCAGATATATGTGACAATCCAGGCGAAGCATTATAATTTCTAGCCAGTCCAGTCATGATCCTCTGGCAAAGTGCATAGTCACGGCTGTGATACATTGAGATGAGAGGTACTATATAAATGTCAGATGTTACATAAATGTCAGGAATGATTATTGTTTGTTAATGGGGGCTAAACTGTTCCTAAGCAAAGATCCAACTCCCAGCCAGGAAGTTCTTTCCAGACGTTCTAACCACCAATAACCCACAGGAAGGGAAAATGTGCACCCCTATTCTATAAAGGAACCCAGATGGGGTCTGGGGTAGAAAATAGGGGTTGGAATTGTCCCAGTGCCACCACCTGCTTGGCAGATGATCTCAGGCCAGTCCTCTAAACTTCTACAGTCTGCTTTAGCCCACCTGTAAAATGTGATAATTATAATACTCGTCCTACTTCTCCTTATTGTACCAGGGTTGTTGTGAGAAATAAGAGTTCACGTGGTTTCAATTGCTTTGCAAAGTGTGAATTGCTGCAAGGATGGCGGTGGTCATCTAGAATCGGGCTGGAAATTAACCTATGCCTTCCCCTTGAATACTACCCACAGAGAGAACTTTTGAAAGGAAATTAAGCTGGGATGATGATGGTGATGGCGATGATGACTGGCCAATGCTGAAAACGCCAGGCTCCTTTCTCACTGCAGACCAGGCGCGCTGATCCAACATTTTGGCCCTGGCGCTGCGGCTTCCCAGCCGGTGAGCTTGGGCCAGTAACCCAGGAGGCTCTGAAAGCGATCGCCAAGGACCCTTCCGGCTCCGACGCTGAGTCTAAATCGGGCTCATCACTGGGATCTAGCTGAGATTCACCTTTCGCCTTCAGGAGGACTCTCCCTACCGTCCCTCAGATGCATGAAGCCGGGGGGGGGGGGGGGGGGGCACTTGGAAAGGGTGGGGGCTGTGTGTTTCAAGTGAGTGTGCACTATAAGGAAGTTATTCTCCTGGAGGTGAGGTGGGGTAAGGGGCAGTGAAGAAGGGGTGTCCAGGGAGTGCTCTGAGAAGCCAGCATGCAGGGAACACTGCAATGAGGTCATGACTGTCGCAGGCAAAAGGAGGTGGACATCTTCTGATGGGGGGATGGGGAGCGTCCCGCATTTCTATTTGCAGAAACTCTGTTCCCACTTCCTTCAGCATCCCCTTCCCAGCTCCCCGTTCTGATCCCCAAATCCTTACACCTTTCAGAACCTACTAGGCCCTCCCGCGGGAGAGCCCGGGTCTGCACTTTCTCCGTGGTCCTGTCTGAAACCATCAGGATTGTTTCCAAGCTGACTCACACCACTAATGTCAGGGAGCCGTGTCACACGGCGCTGGGCTCTGCAAGCTGTTGCTTGCGCGATCGACGCCGCGGCCGCCACCGCTCCAGGGCGGGTGCACCAGAGTCCGCTCCAGGGGCGGGGCCCGGGGCGGGGCCGGGGCGGTCCCGCCCCCTCAGCGTGCCGGGCCCCGCCCTCTCTCCCTCCCTCCCCCGCGGACCGCAATGATTTAGAAGTTCAGGAATCCCACGTGACGTCACCGGGGGGGTGATGTAATGCACTCTAAATAGAATGTATTGTAATCTTTGCTCAGTCCAACGTGGTCCCTTCACCCGGGCTCCGCTCTTGCCTTCTCCACACTTGTTTGGTAAGTTCCTAAAAATACGGCTTGGCCACTTCTGGGGTTTTGCATTTAGGCACTTTTGTTGCACTTGCCGCGGGAGCCATCTCGGGAGTGTACTTGTTTGCAGGGGTTGGTTCTCGGCAGTAGCCGCGAGGTTACTTGGTCCAATGGGCAGGTCACAGGGCAAGGAGTAGGGAAGATGCGATGCATATTTTTGGAGGGTGATCTGTGTTTGTAAACATTTTGGCGGACCAGAGGGAAGTCCGGCCGCAATTGCTGATGGACTGTGGAATTCTACTGTGTCCTGTGGTCATCCCAGAGACCCCACGCCGTGTCCGTCCGGGAGCGCGTCTCGGTGGACGCTGCGCCGCGCGACTAGGAGGGATGCTAACTGGAGCCAGCGCCGTGTTCGCCGCAGCGTGCGTGCGTGTGTGGGAGCGCGCGTGAGTTTCCCTGACACGGGGAACAGTTATGAATCGGGGGTGTGTGTTTGCCTCCAGAGACCTGGCAAGGTGCGGAACCCTGCAGAAGTGTGGTCAAGTGGCAGCGGCGGCGGCAGCGGCAGCAGCGAAGACGACCAGCCAGAAGCCTCGCCCCGCGTAGCCTGCTTTGCAGTGATGCGGCGGAACCCCCGGAGAAAGTTTGCAAACTTCCAGCAGGCGCTGCAAGGACACCGGGTCACCTAGGGGGCGGGCGGGCCAGTGTGCCGGAGGCTCGCTTTCTCCCGGTACCAAGCCGGCTGTTGCCACCTCTCCGGCAGGGCTGCCCGCTGCAGCTGGTGGGCGCGCGCGCGCCCTGGGAGGGGAGGTCGCCTCGCTGGGCACTTGACTTTCACTCCAGGCGCTCCGGGCTCGAGAGTGACGAGGCTATTTGTCAGCTCGCGTGCACTCCTCCATCCGCCTCTTTCTCGCTGCCATCATTACCTCTTCGCCGCTGCCCCAAATGACAGCTCGCGGTGGCGCCCAGACAGTTCTCAGCACCGGCGGTGGAAGACTTCCTCTGCGGCAGACTCTCAACCCAAACACTTAAACTTTTTTCGAAGTTCTTAGAGGGGCAAGACACGAAGGAACTAAGGAGATGTTTTCTCCCGGGGGCTGCATGCCGCTTCTTCTGTGCCTTAGATTCATTTCCTGGGGGTGTCTGATAGATAAAGCCTCCAGTTTATCCTGAACGAGTGCCGCCCCCACTTGATGATGCTTGTTCAAGGCCGGGAATTGGAGTGTGCTGCTTGTATATTTCGTTGTCAGAGTCTGCAGAGTGCGTTTGATTATTTTTTAAAAATTTTTTATTTTTCCCTGTTTCTGATATGTGTCAAGGAATAAAGGCTGGATACAGGTCCATTACGTCATTCTGCAGGCCAGTAAGTGTTTGATTAACAGCTTCAGATACTCAAGGGTTCAGGAGCTTAGAATGCTGACAAAGCAACTCTGCTTTTCACTCCCACCCCCCAATATACCTGTGCAATCGCCCATTCCCTGGGCATCTTTATTGCCCTCTATTCCCCATACCTCCTTTTCCGCCCCTCCCCCGCCCTCATCGTTATCACTGTAGACCCGCCTCCGCCTTTTACAGCTTTCCCTGGGGCGAACACTGTCCCTAGAGTGTGGGTAAGAGCTTCTGGTGTCTGAGGAGACCTCAGTACCTGATCAGCGCACAATCTGCCCTTTTCTATTATTTAAGAAAGTCACCAGCAAGCCCCCTTCTCCAGGGCGAAAATGCTCAGCCCTGATCTCAGGAAGTGTTTGGAAGCGTTATGATAGTACTGTGTCCCGCGTCCCTGCGGTGGCTTAGGAAAGCAACACACCCACAACAACAAAGTATTTAACTTGACACAGCGCCTGCCTAGAACCTTTTAACCCAAGAGGGAAGACTAAGAAGCCAGGAGCGGACTAAGTCAGGTTTAGCAAAAAGAATCAAGATTAGATGTTTTATTTCCAAAGTGAGGGAGCGTTGAGTCGTTGAACTCAAAGCGCCATACAATAAACTGCTGCACGTGTTACTTTCTTGTTCTTAACCTAAAGTTTCTATGCTTAAAGAGGAAGTTAAATACATAAGTCATCGAATTGAGTCAGAATCTCCCTATAGGCAGTTGAAATAAAAAACACCCTGTGTGTGACTTGTTCAAAGGCTAAAAAGTAAAAAGAACCCTTTGGGTAGTGTGGAAAGGGTGCAGCAGAAATCCAATGAAAATTTTACTAACAGGCTTTTGGATAGAGGGGGACCAGGGACTAGGGTGCTCTCTGATTTGGAGCTAGTGAAAGCTAAATAAAGGAAAATTTATATTCTGAATAGGTGGGAATTTCTTGAAGAAAACGTGTTTTGTTATAATCAGATCTACTTTCTTCAAAGGGAAAGCCATGCTGTAGGCTAGGCATTTGTGCAACTCCTGTCTGGGGTCTAATTGACATCCCTTCCCCAAGTTTGTGGCAGTATTTATTATTTATTCACATCTAGAGATGAAATAGTATACCCCCCCCGACAATACATGGGCATCTAAATGTTAAACTTCTTGTTTGTGATGCATAAACCTAAAGGAAAAAATGGCCCAGGTCACGGGCACTGGAGAGTGTGATTAATGATCAGTGATTTAGTGATCAGTGATTAGTGGTTTTATTCAAACTGTTACCTCTGACCAGAAGCACACATCAGAGGATTAACAGGCTCTTTAGATAAATGCTCATTAGTGGAAGGGGAAAAGCAAAGATAATAGGCATGCACCCAGGGACAACTTTCGAAGAAAATCATTCCCGTCTTCAGAATAATAAGCTCTATTAACAGAAAGCCCTTTTAATTTAAAACTGGCTTTTATCTTGTAAATCAAAGTTAGATGTAAAAGTTTGTAGTGCCATTATAACCTAAATTTTCCCATATCCACTAGATGTGGATTATCTCAGTAGCGATATTTTTTTTATTTAAATAAACAATTGGACCTTTAGAGCAGCTGAACCCTGACAGGTTCTTAGCTCCCAGGGTTTGAAGGTGTCCCCCCTTCTGGGATGGGGCTTGCAGCTTGTGGACTAGATGGCGCACTGTTATTTGGTGGTGTGCTGCAGAGATCTCACAGGAGTGTGGACTGAGCATGTAGCTGCTTGTGAGGTGTTCCCTAACACCACAGGGTTGATTCTGTGCAGGGTTGAAGACTAGACAGTTCTACAAGTTTTCAGTCACATTTTCCATGTCAGTTAAATCTAGGGAGTTCAAGGCTACTGGAAAAATTAGTCTCATTACTAAAAGAAACTTAGAGAACGAGGGAGGGAAGGAGGTACGGAGTCTAGGAGGTACCTCTGGGTTGCAGAAGTGATTGTAAAATACCAGACCTTTTTTTTTTTTTCTTTTTACTAAGAGCTAGTTTCACAGTCTTCTGGTCTGAAACACTGAGGCAAATACTCAAAAGATTTATTTTCTTCCTAATCTTGCTGGTGGAAAGAAGTTACTAGAAAGAAAGGAAGAAAAAAATTGATTTGGTGACTGCAGGAAGCAACACGTTGCTGATTTTATTCTCCAGATAATGGTAAGAATTATGCTTATTAAGCAGAGAAAGAACTTGGTGCTTAGCTAAGTGGGGTCAGTCTTGTGTTTTCAATGGATTTCTTAGGAGTTTTAATGTTGCTTTTCTCAGTTCCCTGGGACTTATAGCATTTTGTGTGGAAGGTTTTGTATGTGTGTCTCTGTGCGTAAATCACGATTTCTGGTAAAAATAGCAATGAAGCATGTTAAGTAGTGTGTCAGGCAAGAATTCTCTTTTCTACAAGCTTTCATGAATCACTTCAACAAGTATTTGAATTTTAGTAAGAAGGAGTTCTTTTTAAAAAGAAAGATAAAAATGAGAAACAAAACAAAACAACCCCATTTCCCACATCCAAACCTAGATGTGTACTTCCCTGAAGAAGGATGCTATTGATTGTCAGCTATTACTTTGGTTTTAAAATTTAAAAAGAACTCACCATGTCTCTCCATAAATTTTTTTCCCTTATTTTCCTTTGATCATAGCATTTTATATAGATCTGATAGTTTTAAAGTTCTTACTGATTCCTGTTGATTTTTCTTGTTCAGCTTCACTCAGAGTAAACACGTTTGCTCAACTGATAACATCCAAGCCAACTGAATTTTAAGGCAAATTGCTGATATCCATAAATTACCTGTCAAGTCAAAGTCAGTTGTAACTGTATATAGTTTATACCTGCGCAGATAGTGTAGAACGTTCCCACAAAAAGTAGAAACCATTCCTTTATTTCTATATCTCTGTGATATTGCAGCAGTCTGTCAGAGAGACTTTTCCTGAATAGATTTTCAATTATAGTAAGTAGAATATTTTTGTTATAACTACGTGTCAGTTTCCCACACCTGCGTGTTCAAAAACAATCAACCATGGAGTTTCCATAGTTATTTGTACTGATGTCAAGTTCTCCGTCTCCTGATTTCCCACTATAATTTACTTTTTAGTAGTGATGTGTCGTTGTCCTATAGTATTTCCTTAGCATTTGGAGTTTTCCTTGTCAACTGAAAATTTTGGGAGTGTGATGATAACCGGATCCTTAAATGTGCACTTTGTATTGGTAGTTGTTTTTTTTTCTCGTTGTAGATTAAAATTGGGATTTGAGTGGACTTATTATTTTTGTCATCTTTCTTTTTTTTCTTCTTCTTCACTTCAAAGCAGTGCTGTTAGTCACAGAATTAATGTGATCATGGCTGGTGTTTCCCATCTATATGCTTCTTTTGCTTCGTACAAATTGGATTTCTACAGCAATTTAAGATCTTTTTTTAGAGGCAGCTTTCTTGGATGAAGGTGGAACAGTGATCTCAGTCAATTCATTATCTTGTCCAATTTGACTATCAGCTGCATTATGGGAATCAACCAATGCTTTTATAAATTAGTGCTTAAAAATTCAAAACGAGGACTATTTCTCTTTAAAAGAATTATACCATTGTGATAAGGTAATAGACTTAGGGGCAGCAGCTTCAAATATTTAAGGGTGAGAAAGAAGCACTTTCATCTCTGCTGGGCAGACTTAAAGACACCAAAAAAACCCTTTTTGTGTTGCTATTTGTAAACTAAATAAGCTATCTATGTTGTGGCAATGCTTTGAATAGAAAGCCTTGCACTTTAAAAATGACCTCATAATTCCTGTTTTCACTAAAGAATTATTACATTTTGTAATTAGGGAAAAAATGGCAATTACTGTTTTTTTGCGTGTCTATTAGTACTCCATCATTGGGAATCATGAGAAAATTCAGAGAAAAAGAGAGAAGCCCTTTAGAAATTACCAAGTCATGATAACACTCTTTTGGAAACATGTTTAAAACTCTTGAAGCCCTTATTGATGGCTCTGGGACTTTCAAAGTAAAACATAAAGTTTAGGATAAATTTGCAAAGGAATTAGATATTACTTGGACACTAGATATTTTTTTTCAGGGCTGGAGATGTAGCTCAGTGGCAGAGCACTTACGTAGCATGCACGAGGCCCTAGCACCACAGAAACAAACACAATACATATTTCAGTTACTTTTTTTTTTCTATTTCCTTAAGTTTCTCATTTCTAATCTCTATCCTAAAATTAGCACAGATGGAAAACTGTCATGTTGGATTTGATTTGAGCTGGTTTTAAAAAGAGTGAAGAACTCCTTTTGGCATGGAGAGTCTGACAGAAAGCTTGTGTCTGCATGCAGATTTAGGGGATCTGGATTTAGGGGAGATCCTCTGAGCAGAACTCTTTGTTGAACAAAGGAGAGCCCAAGATCTGGTAACATCTCCTAGGTTATCCAAGGTCCAGAGCAGAGAGTGCCAAATGAGGCCCCAGTGCCCTTCACCAGGCAGGGTCCTGTTTCTACAAGCCAGGTTGTCATAAATGCCTTTGACAGGGAATACATAAGCCACAAATTTGGATGCTTTGCTCTTTTCAAGCCTTTTGCCATTAACATTTCAAAGACAAAATTTTTATCAGATCTTTTGAATGGCTGCCTTGGCCACATGAACTATAGTTGTAGTTTCTATTCCATTTATTCTTATACATAACGGCAGTGTTAATTTTTCTAATATTGGCCTGCCTCGTTGATTTTAATTTAAATCCTTCTCATTATTATTAGACACACCCTATAAAACTATGCCATCCAGATTTCACTTGAGAGTCAACACTGGGAAAACCTAAAAATGGTCTAAAAGACCATCTCTGAATGAAACCGTCACTTTCTTTTACTTTCAGTGTTTTATCATTTTTCAGGAAGGGAGCTGAAATTATTTCAAGTTCGTATAAATCATCTTTCTTTTTGTCGAATAGAGCAACAGGTTCTATGTTCACTCTAGCAGATGCACTTTTGCCCAGGACCTGTCTGAATATATTATCTTTTCAGGTCAGTTTTGAAGCGCGTGGAGGTGAACATCACTCTGTGAGAAGTGAGTTGCATCTGGCAGCGTGCTCTTTGAGGTCTGACTGGCAAAACTTGACTTCTCATAACTAATAGAAATCATGCATGCAACCCAGAGGACTCCAGAGCACAAATATTTTATTTAGGATGATGTTTTATTTATGATGCTGTATTTAGGATGGGTAGCAAACACGACTCAGTAGAAATCTTGAATGCATCTACTAGTTGTGTAGTTTGGCCTCACCCACAGGTTTCTTTTCCAGCTTTTGCATGAACGTTTACTATCAGAATTCAGGACTCTTTTATTCTTTTATTTATTAAAATAGGAGCCCCTATTTTACAGGCATGATTTCTTGAATATAACCCATTTCAGCTAGTTTTATCCTCTGCTGGCTTCCTTAGTGGGAAAATCATAAACAACAACAACAACAACAACAACAAAAATCTAAGTTTTTGTTTGAATTAAGTGATTATAGAAGAAATGCATTTAATCTCCATTTGCCAGATTTGATAGGACCATTGAATTTTATCAAGACAAGATTTTCCTCTTTAAGTCAGTTTGGTTTCTAATGACTAGGTACTAATCCATGCCCCAGAGGACACAGGCAGTGAGGAGAAAGTCCATTTTCACCAGGGGACCTAAGTGAAGAGCCTGATTTGCCTCACTGCAAAGACAACATTGTCCAGAAAAACATTGACTCTTGGGAGGAAAAACAATATTTTGAAGGCTCAAGCTTCTAAATTCTAAGCAGGGAATCATGGTGAGTTGAAGATGGCTCTCAGAGTGCTGAGGGCCTCCGGGGTTGTTTTCCCAACTACAACATGTTAAATGTTCTCTTCATCCATTTTCTGCATTTTCCTTATGCTCATGTTTCTACATTTGCTTTTAAACATCTGTTCTAGCTGCTCTGCTTTCAGGGGTAGCCCCACAATAACAAATAACAAATGTGTGGACAACAGAGAGGTGCTATTTTTTCATAAGGGGAATCTATTGTGATATTGCATCTTAGAAGAAATAATTAGTGAGACAACAGAGAGACAGTTTAAAGTCCAATTTATGGCATCATAACTCCCACTGCGATTGGTGGCCCTGCAGTGATGTGCTTTATGGCAACAGGCAAAGCCTTGGTGGAAAGGGGAACCCCTAAGTGCTGCTTGAACTAATTGAGCTCCTCTGCCTCACTTACCTTATTAGCAATGAAAGGTGACTGGAAGTCCAATAGTGGGACCAATATACGTAACGTTCAATGAAGGAGTCATATTAAAAAAGTAAAAAGATGCTGGCACCGTGGTGCATACTTGTAATCCCAGCAGCTCAGGAGGCTGAGGCAGGAGGATCAGGAGTTCAAAGCCTGCCTCAGCAACAGCGAGGCACTAAGCAACTCAGTGAGATGCTGTCACTAAATAAAATACAAGATAGGACTGGGGATGTGGCTCAGTGGTCAGTGTCCCTGAATTCAATCCCCGGTACCTGAAAAAAAAAAAAAAGCAGTAAAAAGAAGCAGGTGACAACGTTCCTTTTGATAACATATTTTGATTTTGTTTACCCAGTATATCCAAAATATTGTTATTTCCATAAAAATGTTAATGAGATACTTTGAATTCTTTTGTGGGTGGGGTACTAAACCTTTGAAATCCAGTGGGCATTTCACTAGTACAGCATATCTTGATTTGGGCTAGCTACGTTTCAAGTGCTCAATAACCACGTGTGGCCAGCGACTACCGCACTGGACAATGCCAGTCTGTATCATGGTCCTTAATCCTGGAGGCCCAATGAAACCACCTGTGGAGCTTATAAAAAATACTCACACCCCTCCTGCATGAGATTCTGATTTAATTGGTTGGGGTTGGGGGCCTTGGCCTCTGTATTTTTTAAAAGCTCCTCTGAGTTTCTAATGCACAACAAAGGTTGAGAACCACAGTTCTAACTGATCTCTAAGGAATCTTCTCTAATATTTTATGATTCTATTTAAGGAAAGGGATTGCAGGAAAGTGTTCATTCAGAGTTCAAGGGCAGCAAGCAGTTGTTATAGGCATCTGCACCCTTCAAAACATGTTGAAGCAAATACAATTAATTAAAAAAAGTTTACAGAATGAATAATTTAGAAGATAATTCTTTGTGCCAGACATGAGCTCTGTTATAAGTTG